GTATCACACAGTATCACCAAACTGCATTCAAATTCTGATGGCTCAATAAAACTTCCCTAAATTAAAATGCTACATATCGATGAGATTTCGTCAGTCACCAAGGTGACTTACACTTGGAAAGACCATCAACATAAGAACGGTTAAATTATAATTTTAAAAATCTCATTTTTATGGTGATTGTTCAAGAATGTAATCAGTAATGTCTTCTTCAAGTTCTTCTTTGGCTTGAACTGAAATGGTGAATGTGAATGACTCCGAGTTCGATGGCGAGGTTCATGACCTAATATCGTTTATTACCACGCACCGCGGATCCTGAAACAAAACTTGTGAGGTATCCGAAATCTCATTTGGCCCAGGTTTTATCAGCCATTTTAGGTGTTAATATTGTGGCTTTTGATATCGTTTTGTAATGGGATACCCTGCTTGTATGAGGGTTGTATGGCGGAGAACAGGAGAGGAGAGATATGGGTGGTGGCTTAAAGAGAAGTGGTGTGGGATTACAAGCACCGTGAGTCGACCAATTATGGTGAGACAATCTGAAGGGATGCAGGCCCTAGATAACGCGGAGTGCAAAGATGAGGAATGGATGTTTTCGTCCTGGCTTTATATTGTTCGTTGATTATGAAAGTAACACCCTTTGTGAATGCATGCAAATTTGATCTAGCATTGATTACTTGTGTGACGCCCTCTATCTTGGCCAACAATTTATTTATCAAGGAAGCTCCATCAGATGGTCACCTATAGAATACAGTGAATTCAGCTTAGTTTTTCGAAATTGATAAATACTATTCGCTTGTTAGCCCAGTTTATTCAATCTTATGCACACAAATTTACAAAATTCGTCGTATATGTATACATGAATTTATTGAAAGATGGGTGTATGACAATTATTTGTCAATTTGATTGTCTGGTTACGAGATTATTTGAAAATTATTCATTTTGTGTTATAGTTACTGAAAACGGGCTAATTCCTATTTTAATTCCTATGCATGTGATACTTAATTTAGGATGATAATTCCCTATTCCGTTCGAAAAGATATGGTTATTGTAGACTGTAGACAAAATTATCAAACCATTAGATTGTTGGAACTAAACCATAATCCATTTTTTTTTATTTCTCCCTATTTTTTTTTAATCCTTATATTCTTATCTTTATTGCTGATATATATTCTTATAGAAAACAAAGATAAATTGAATAATCTGTGAAAAAATGTTAGTACAAAACAGGATCATAACACTTGAAATGAAATCGCTGACTTTCTTCGTTTCTCTTCTAATATAGCAAGTCTAAAACGCTTTTAGAAATCTGCTAAATAAAATAATAGTTTCAAATTGAGTAAACGTCGACAAACAAAGGAACTAAAAAATTTGCAGGTGACGGGGGAACCTTCGAAAGTATTATTAACACTAAATATAAATAAATATTCAAAAATGCTTTACTGCTATGTTATGCAATCTATAATCCCCAAGAGAAGCATATGAAAATGTCTCTTTCACCTCTGAGAAGACATCAATCTTTCCATATTCTGCAATTGGTAGTTGCTGACGCCTTGGTGTTGTATAAACTGACGATTAAACGATTTTGTTCTTCAATTTTGCTGTGACAAGCGGATTTGTAAACACAATAATTTGATATTGGGTGTGAGGAAAACCGCTGAGAAGTGTAACAACTCAGGTGTTGCAGTCGCCCTGCGACCGGGATGCTTAGAATAACTTGCCGCAACGAGGTGAAAGGAAAATTGCATTACTGACCGAACCATGGGGGGGGGGCAGAACGGGGACACGATCCACAGCAGAAGATATTTTTTATATCGATAGATAACCCCTTTAACTGATACGAATGGTGGGAATGGTCAACCAGTTTTTCCTTGTTTATTTGTTTCATTTTTCTTTAAATAATTGATGTCTTTTCAATATATAAGTTCAAATCTAAAAGGTGTAAAACAGAGTTTGGTAAAGTTAACGGGTTTTGCGATTTCAAAACAAGTTGGCTTAATAGTTCGTAGCACACGATTATCAATTTTTTCTTCAATAATTTCGAAAGCACTAATCAATATTCAGATATCGTTTAAAATCAAACTACATTTCATTATCTTCAGTATTTTATAAAGGTATTCTATACACACACAAAAATATTTTTTTTTAAATAAGCCGATTTATAAAATCTAAATTAACAGTCTGGTTTGCACTTATTTTGTGCCTTCTTAAGTCAACCCATGAATACTGATAAACACATTTTCGTAATATATATATATGTGTGTGGAAAGGGAGATTATGCCCCCCCCCCCTCCCCCACCCCATGTTAAAAGTACCTCCATTATTTCAAAGATATGTTTTTGCCACTTCCTTTAAATATAATCATCTTAAATATTTTATTTTCTCCTTGCCAGATATAATGTAATATATTTTGTGCGCGAAGGGCCCGTGCTATGCTCTTCTAAATGTAACTTTGAGTACGATCAAAAAGATACTACAATATCTCTTTGGTACGATACACCATTTCCAAAATAATATGTCCACATGCCAACTTGGAAGCTTGAAGCTTATCGAATGTTCACATGTTAATTCATTTGTCTGCTTTACGAAGCAAGTTCCTCCCAATTTAAAGGCTTTTGAAATTCTCATGAAGAGTATTCTAATTTACTGTCTCATTTCTTTAACTGTTATGAATTCGAAATTGATGAATTTCACCTGTTTGCTTGTATGAGATCTGGAATTTCAATGTTTAGACCTCTTTAAACCTGGTCGGTTAATTTCAATAATTAAGTATATTTGTCATGTCCGTGCATGACCATGGTGACTTGTTCCGTCCTTGTAATCGAAATTGTTACCAATATTCCTCGCTGCCTTTGAATTTTCAAATAAATTCAAACATGACTAAAGTTTTTGTGTTGATGCTAATATTTAACAATGCCACCAATTATTGTTTCAACCATGGCTAATATTTGTTCAGTCGAGTTAAATTAATCACATTTCGTCAAGAAACTCATGTTAGCTTTCCAGCTGCCGTGAGCGTGACCAAATTAACGGTTGCCTGTTCGTGAAGGAAAATATGCTAGAGAAAGAGGAACCCGAACCCCAAACCAAATCAAAAATACACTGTATGTGGATGGAAAGGGTAACCCGTTTACAGTATTTAAACATTTCTGTCTTTATCCTAATATAATTTATTCAACGACCAATTATTTTCTAAAGCATGGCTAATATTTGTTCAGTCGAATTAGTTAGTTGATCATAATGTTTTGTCAAGAAAAATCGTGTTAATAACTTTCCAGCTGCCACGAGCGTGACCAAATTAACTGTTGCATGTTCATGAAGGGAGATCAAAAGGGCGAAAGGAGGCAGTGACCGGGAGCATTCAAGTCATTCAGGGGCGTACATAGAAAATTCCGACTGGGTAGTCGAAAAATTCCCGACCTAAATATAAAACGATTATAAATAAATTAGTTTGTGAATTGCGGACAAAGCTCTAAAAAAAAAAATGTGCAGACAGAGTTTGTATTTACATGGAGGGGCATGTCGAACCCCGCCCCTTCCCCCTTAAAAAACCTCCGGTGACGCTCCTGGATTCTCCGCCTCTTGTTTCAATATTTCATACCAGCGACGGGACAAGTTTCTTTGCCGAGCTACGATGCAAGTTCATGATCTTCGCTCAATTGCCCGGAACATATTAACGTCATCTTTTCTGTCTTATCGAGGGCGTTGAGGGAGGGGGAGGGGGTAGCCAATTAGGTCGATTATAATTATATTGACAAATCACAAGTTGTTATACTTTTGTTTATATCGTATTTTTCCTTCGTCAGCAAATGAACTTGCCCTGTTCCACATTCAAATTAATAAAGGGACGCCCCAGTTTCGTTTGAAAACGTTTCATTCGTTTTCCTTATTTGGGGTTGAAGATTGCCCATCATTTAAGTTTAAATTTTCACGATTATCACCGAATCCGATTACTTCTCATTGTGACATGAGATAGCATTCTGCTGTTCCCTATACGGGAAAAGTCCCTAATCAAAATAGGACATCCCAAACTATTAAAAATATCAATAGAATAATCCCACAAATTAAATTGACTGTCTTTTGTCTCTCCTTTTTCCTTCTTACTTCTTTCTGTGAATACTCGTAGAGGTCAGTCCAACTTTTCATTTGCCAATGGCTGTTGTCCTCCCTCCTGATGTTACCCGTGTTGTCAAAACAATTTGGTTGTAGCGGTAAGAAGCGTAACATGTCTGCTAAACATGGCTTCTACAATATTGGTGATGTCCATCCCCGAGCTATCCACGGGGGACTAGCCCGATACCACACGTGCGATGGCCCGCTGAGTACCCTGTCATCCAGCCTGACGAAAAGTGTATTCTCTTTCTTAATTCCTCTTTCTTTCTTTCTCTCTCTGTGTGTATCTGTCTCTTGCTTTCATAATTCGCTCCTGCTCATCCTTCCACATTCACGATATATCTCTCCCTATCTATCTCTTCTTTTTTTATCAAATATATTCATCTATCTATATATCTCTATATCTCTTTTTCTTCCTTTCTTTCTCTTTCTTTGTGTTGCTATCTGTTGCTTTCACATTTCTCTCCTGCTCATCTGTCCACATCCATGATATATCTCTTCCTATACATCTCTTTTCTATATCTCTATATCTCGTTATATATATATCTTTCTATCTTTCTATCTATCTCTATCTTTCTATCTCTCTTTCTATCTCTCTTTGTACCTCACCTTCTATATCTCTTTCTATCTCTATTTCTACCTCTCATTATGTCTCTTTAAATCAATTTTTCTTCATATCTCTCTCTCCTGATACCCCCATCCCATCACTTCCTCTCACTCTTTTTCTCCCTTCTATCGATGTCCCATCTTAAACAATAAGTTTAAATATTTTCAAGTAAATACTGGACATATATGTAGAATTCCACCAATTCACCCTCTATCTTTTTTAAAATAAATGTTATTAATTTAATTCTAGGTAACATAGTAACATACACTTTTACCTGTATCGACAATATGAATAATCGTGGTATTTTTGTTTGAGCTTGATCAGCGTAGTTCATAGTTGGAATATGTCTTTAGAAAGTGACATTGCTTCACCATGATTCCACAAGACAGAATAAACTTTTTGTTTTAATGTATATTTGTTTTAATCAGCTACCCTTGAGTCTTCTGCCAGGCCTTAGACACATAACTTAATGTAAGAAACATTTTCATTAATCGCCTTTATGAAAGGTACTATTGAGTTCTAGTAATCAATGTCCATCAAGCATAATTTTCAAACCGATATGACTTTTTATTGTTATTCAGGTGTTGTAAGTTTGAATATTATAAGGAAATAAAGAGCTCCTTGAAAAACTAAAAAAGCAAAAGAATCATTACGAAATGTCTTTCCTAGAACCATTATGTTGTGTTAGAGTATTTACTATAACTTTCTCCATCACGGTTCAGTCTCATATTGTTCGTCCTGATGTTCCATCATCATTTCTTCAACAAACTCTCAATTGAGAAGGCTAAGTAACTTTTAGGTGCTTGTCTTTTCGTTTCATAGGAACTTTGCACAACAACTACTCCAGGCGCACCGCTTGGACCTTCCCCACCTTTCTGACCAAGTTCTTGTCCATTTCTGTTTCCGTCGTGATCAGGACTTACACATCCCAAGTCAGCATCGCTGTCCCCTGAACGCGGAATCACGTATTCGACGTCTTCTGGACGGTTGTCCAACTCTGTGCCATCCTGCGACGAGCTGCTCAAACTTTCGTCACCTGTCCGTCTTTCGCCCTTGGACAAGGTAAGCGCTTTCGAAGCATGCAGGTAAGTGTCTTCACGTGTTCTGTCATAAGGTTTTTCATTCATTACTACGGTTGTTTGTGCAGAATGTGGATACGAGTTCACCGGAAATTGCCCCGGTCCAACTCTGTGATCCTGCTTGAAGGGCGTCTGCGGAACACTTGACATCATCAAGGGATTCATCGTCCTCATGTAAGACGCTGCGACGCGTTCTGCGACGCCCGGCGACAAAGTCGGCACCTCGCCGACACCGCATCGCAGACGTTCGTCACCGCCCAACGATCCTTTCCACGATGCTTCCGAACCCTTTGTCATTGTCTCCCTCGCCTGGTTCAAATTTTCGAGCCTGGTTCCCATTGCTCCTAAGTGTCCTTTGTGTGCATCTTGGTTGCCAGTTCGACCTACGTCGAAATACGAGACGGGATTCGACGCGAAAGGCGCCAGCGTCTTGTCACCGGCTGCGTACGCCAGCATCAATGTCCATTGGCATTCGCGTTGCAACATGGTCGTTTCAAGTTCTTTGTCGGCGAAAGCGCGTCGTTTGCGCATCCTCTCACTGACTAGTGGCGGTAGGAAGATGACCGGGCGGTTAGGAACACGGGATGACAGTCGACCGGGTTTACCACGGTGTCCTGAAGAAAACAAACAAAAAAGAAAACACAATGAATAGTCCGTTAGAACGGTCTATGATGAGCTTTGGCATGTTTGGATCAACTCATTTATGTCAATAGATCGAGCAATTTCTCTACAATTAAAAGAACTACCACCTGATACTTTCTTCTCCTGAAATTATTGGCTTAATCAAATCAGAATTGGCCTATGTCATATGGAAACAAAATATTACTCCAGCATCCGAAGTCGTCAACAGCTTTTTGTTTAAAACCTGAGAAGGCATCCACACGGCATCAAAAATCAAATGAAAAGCTAAACCATGTTTACATGTCTTTTTCAATATTTTACCTGATGCCGATAAGAAACTTTTGTTAATATTAAACCTTTGTGATGATGACATTTAATCCAATACACAGTAATGACAAAGGTCACAGAAATTATGAAATATTAAATTACTTTCAAAATCTCCAAAAGTAATTACGTGAAAGCGTCTAATTGTAAGGATATGGCAAGAGTTATAAAAAGGGGGAATATTACATCATTTAGATTTGGTTCGGCAATAACAGCGGATCTAAATAAATGTTCACCGCCCATTTTTATTTAATACTCCTCTCTGTGAAATAAGTATTTTTAGCCTCCTACATCTCCGAGTCGAGTCAATAAAATATTACATTTGCTCAAACTAAACATCGGGGTTTTCGGTGATTACTAAAGATACAAGTTGGTGTGTCTTTATAAGCATACAAAATAACCTTAAACGTCTCCTGTGTTACTTCCAAGCGTAAAGGTAGTAAGGGTGAAAGAGAAAGTGAAAGAGGCAGAGACAAAGAGAGAGTGGGAGAGAGAGAGGAGAAATATATATATGTTACGAATGTCTTTCAAGTACACCAATATGAACAACAAATAAATATCTAGACAAAAAAGTTTACAAGCGAATGACTTTATTATCGGGTATGGCTATGTGAGATATAATTTCCCCCACTGTGAGATATTGAGCTCTAGGGCATACCAGTTCCACGTACACCAAAATATTGATGTCTACTATTACCATAAAAAGTGCAGAAAAATATCAATAACGTTATAAAATCAAGACGTTTCGCTTGATATTACAGCCTATTCGGTGCAAACGTCAGGGGATGGCAATTAATTGTCTGTTTGCAGAGAAACAGGCCGCGAAAATCCGTAGCGACCTTTGTTCTTTCTTCTTGGTGAAAATACAGATTGGATCTCGTTGCAACAAAAGCATAACATTATTAGACCCACCTCACGATTCGGTTTTAATAGGAAAGCAGCGCTGCGCCGACCAGGTTTGCCCGAGGCGCGAAATCCGATTCCGAAATCGTATTAACTGAAAGTCGACTATCATCAAGAAATGGCGCATTGATTGAATAAAGATGATGTTTCAGAAAGAGAATTGGTTTGATATTATTGGGTTGTTCGTTGATGCCAATCTGGGTTTGTCGATAATGGGGGCTTACATTTTCAAACAAAGAATAGAAGTAGTGTGCAATTTCTTCATTTCCAATTTATTGCATCATTCCCGAACAAACAAAAAATGCACTGTGGAAATACGAGAGGAATTCTTCTGACTGTAAACAATTTTAATGGGTAATTGAGATATGTTATAGGTATGTTCAGGAGGTATTGACAACATGATCGGCTTATAAAAATTGATATATCCCGCTTTTCTTTTCCTATACTTACAAAAGTGTACACATCACCTTATTTGGGGAATGCTTTCATTTTGAATGAACACTGAATAATGTTTATTACATGTTATTGTTTTTTATGATTTGATAGTTCAAACTAAGTTAGAAGTTTGTAGGGAAAATTGTTAATTATCAAAAGTAGAATGGGCCTTACAATTGAGAAAACAGCTAGGGCCCAATTAATGCAATGGCAAGCAATAGAAACTATTTCTATTCTTTCATTTTGGAAAACAGAATTTGTGTTATCCACTTCGCGTCATACTTCTTTCACATTCCTGTACTATGCGGTCGTAAACTTTAAAAACAACATGATTCATTTTTGTTCATTCCTGAGCTCCCGCCGGAATTTGTGTCATTCAAAAAAAAATTATGTTAAATTTTATTCTGTTTGCGTCATTGACATATATTTGTATCCTCACATAATGCCTGCCATCCGTAATAAAATGTACTTACATTACTTTTTTTCTCATTTTTCTAAAATACTTAATAATGATAATAATACTTAATACACTGTATATAGGGCATGAATATATAACATATAAGTATCATAGCCTATATGATACTTAAATAGGTTTATACCAAAAATATATCCCTATACGCTGTATACAGAAGAGTGAGACACTCCCAGCATACTCCCATAAATCATCAGTTAAAGGTACTATGTCCCTTTTGCAGCCAACCTCAAATGCTGTAGAACTTTGCAGGAATTATGAATATGTCATGTATGTCCTATCTGTGAAATTTAAACGACAGCAGTGTCCTCATATTCAGATTATGCAAGGAAACCCGTTTACTTGCTAGACTTCACTGTCAGACACTATTGAGTGACTGACTGGCTTTTTTTCTTCTTTGGTAATAACATACATGAAAAGAGTTGTAAAGGGTACATGAGCATTTGTCTACATCAATAACCCACTTCTTGTGATGGCCAAGATTAAACTGATTGAATCTTTCGCAGCATAACACGTATGACCATTCGGTACAATTGTCTGAAAATCAAGACTATTACTTTTGGGCTCTATAGCCCTAAAGTTGATTTGACAACTAATAGTCGTTATTTTCCCACTTGAAGACATTTTTAAGCCCCACCTTTTTTAGGGAAGTTCTAAATTAGTATTATCTTTCAAATGCTGTTGGACTTTAGCCTTTTCATTTTTTTGGCCTGCAAATGGGACATAGTACCTTTAACACCATTTTTTATTGAAAATATTTGGATATTTCAATGGTTTTTTGTTAGATTACGATTAACATTTGATATGAGTTTACCGGGCTTTTATTTGGATCACTGAGAAAAAGAAAAATAACATTTTATTCCACTTTTTTTTAAAATTAAATATATATCACGATGAAATAACATTTGTGGACAATAATATGCTTGTAAACTATGGGGCATTTCGGGTCCGAACATTCCAAGTCATTCCATTCCATCTTATGATGGCAGAATTTGTGTATCGTGATAATCGGCGCTGATTTATTTCTATATCGATGTTTTATTTCATGAAATAATGAACATTGCAAGACTTTATTCTCATTGTAAGGTGCAGAAGAAACTTCAAAAAGACGAATGTCATTGATAAACCAAATTGGTAGTATACTATTGGTTTGACGTATGTAAACGTGGCTTTTTGTGATCAGAAAATAAGAAACTTTGTCGTAGACTGAGTATACTATGCACTTTAAGCTTTTGGATTAGCGATAAAAATTGTATTTGAAATTTTTCTTCAGTTGACATTTTCCAATGTAATGTATCTCTAATGAAAAACGGAGATATCTAATTATTAGGTCATCTAGTTATAACATCAAAATATATCATGAGTTAATAACTTATCTCTGTTGAGGTTTTAAGTTTATTTGCTTGTGACCATTGGGATTATCGTTAACAGATTTATCGACAACGGATAAAATGATGAAGAAAAATGTATTAACTTTGGTTTATATTTGTAACTTTTGAAAATACGACAACTTTCTTGCTCCTTTATTCTTTCAAGTATTTATAACCAAGTTTTTTTTTTCTTTTCTTTTTATTGTTGTTGTTGTTGCAGTTGTTATTGTTGTTGCTTGTTTTGCTCTTTTTTGAAAAACCAAAAAAGAACGATTGTTACATTTTCGGACACTTTTGTAGATTTTGATCTATACATGAAGATGATGAGTAAGAAAAACGCATGGGAACGGCGCCAGTGTTGGATAGCATAAATTCGTCCTATATACAATAATAGTATGTATTCATGTTTTCAGTTCAAATGAAAGTAATTATTTCGGACGACGTTGGTTAACTTTCTTTGCTTTACAATTCGTCTTAAAAAAGTCTGACCTCACTCGGTGCTTAAGACTTGTCTTGGTAAAATATTCAATTGCAAACCGTATTTATAACCATTGTTCTGAAAATCCTTTTCTTGGAAGATAACTTAGATTATAACTAATAAACGCTCTATTATAATGTACATTTTATAGCGCCAATTAAAACTAAATACAGCCTTGTTCCTCTGAAGTATACATTATGTTTTAAACGTCGTTTCGAAGTTGTGCTAGCGTTCATGGAAATATGAACATTTCCAGAATTGCATTATCAAATTACTTTGATATACTAAAGTCAACATGAATTGAAGTACAATAATGGAAAATCATTAATCAAAATGGTGGGAATTCAGCTTTCAATAATTATTCGTTATTGTACATTATCATGTTTATAATTATGGTTGAGATAGTTTTGTCGAAATGATATAGATATTTTGTGGAACGTGTTGACATGTTACAGTACCAGCATTATAGTAGTACGCTAAAAGTAGTGGTAGTAGTAGTGGTAGTAGTAGTTGCTGTTGATGTTGGTGTTGCTTTTGATGTTGTAAAGAAGTTGTAGTTGTTGCAGTAATAGGCCCACTAGTACTAATAATGGGCTGATAGGATAAATATTAGGCCCCGTATTATATAGAAGTATAGCATAGTTGATAACAGTGGAGGAAATGGAGAATGCTACTATTTAGGCCTAATATTATTTTAAATAGATGTTTGTCTAACCATGAGAAAAGTTTGAAAACAGTTATTATTATTGCTGTAGTTTTAGTTTTTCTGTTTTCGTGGTTGGTGACACTTGGTGTCGTTGTTGTGTTTGGTGTTGTTTCTTTTGTTTTTGTTGTTGGTGGTGGTGGTGGTGGGGGTGATGTTTTTGGGGGGTTGGTTGGTTTGTTTGTAAATGCTTTTAACTTTGTTTTCAGATATATATGCGCATGCCATAAATAGTTATCTCTAGAACATAACCAACCCTGAAGAAGTGACCGATGATTATTCACCTCTCCTCGTATCATGATGATGATGAATGCAAGTTTCTTTCGAAAAAGAAATGAAGTGAAAGTGAAAATAACAAACCTTCCAGTATGTCTCTTGCAATAGATCCATGGAACCTTCCCCTTGCTGCAGTCGAGCTCAGCCTCTTCACCCTCTCTTTTAAACGGCTAGCCTCGGCACCTATCTCTGCCAGTTTCCGTTTACTGTTCGACAGCTCCTCGGGCGAGACATCCTTTGCGCTCCTCTTCCTACCGTCGACCCCACCTCTGCCGCCCGATGCGGTGTCGCTTCCCGGCGCCTTCCCCGCTCCATTGCCGCTACCCTGGTCGCTGGATTGCTGTCGCCTCAGCGCAACTTGAGCGGCCATCACACGTTGTCGCTCCACCACCAGTAGACAGTTCGTGCAGCGACAATCCCGCCACCGGCAAAACCGCTTGTGGCCCTTCAGGCAAGACACGACGCCGTGGTTTCGGCATCGGGCGCACTTGGGTGTCCGCACAACCCGACGTACCGATGGTTGGTGTTTGGGCAGCACTTTGTGACCAGGCATTTGAGTTTTATTTCTGTCTGTTGTGAGATCAAAAATTATATTTTTCTTTGGTGATGGATATGCTCCTTTTTTAATATTCACGGTTTTATTTGTATCTTTGGATGTAACACTCCCAATATCACCACTGTCTGCCATTGTAAGCTGGAATGAAAGTTTAAGAAATAACAATAAATATAAACCAAATTCTTATCATATTATAAAGACATTCTAACAATGAAAAACAATTGTAATATCGTATTGTATATTGCCTGTAGAAATCAATTTTGGATTCAATCACGTCATTTATTAAGTTTCGAACATATCAAAATTCGATGCACGAGACTAATGAAATAACCTTTGATTGATTTCTTTAAAAACTTTGAGATGGTTTTTCTATTACATTCGTTATATGATTATCATCTTCTTCAGTGTGGCAACAAAGAGAGTTAAACCTGTAAGAAGGAGATGGGTAATTTGGTAATAATGAAGCAAAATAGCAAACAATTGTAAATTGATGCAGACCTACAAAAAGATAGACGACATATATTTGTCAAGTGAGAGGAAAATCTTCCATTGCCAAAATGTCTCTTCAGTAAAAACTTTACCCCAAAACTCGAAGGATTTTGCCTTTTAGAGATTGGGACGAATATAATCAGGGTAATTAGCAAATTGAATACAAAAGGACGACAAAAATAGCATGATTGACTCTGTGTTTTCTTAAAGTAGAATATACCAAAGACATCAGATTATATGATTAAATTACAGTTGTAAACCAAAATTGCAATTGATTTTATCTCGTAATATATCCCTGAAAGGAGCGTTATTTGCCTATGCAATAAATAAAGAAGTTCTTGTTCCTACTTATAACCCAATCTCTATGAACAATTGCATACAATACTTCAAACATATTAAACTGTAAATATTATACTTAAACATAATTAACTTTTATTGCAATGACCAGACTTTTAAAAGATGGATTTGCCTCTTACATGATTTACTTCAAACATTCTTAATTGTATTTTCTGAAATTCGAATTATGAATTAGAACTGCCACTATCATACTTACCACAACCATCGACAAATAATTATTATTTTCAAATGTCGTTTATGTTATTTGCGAAATAAAAGACATAAAAATCAAGTGTTTCGTTACACTGAACCAATAATCCAATATAATTTCGTATACTATACTTCATGTTGACTATACCTCTTTTTCTTTCGCTCAGTAATTATTATACCTCTATATCAATTTATATCAAATAAAACAAAAACATTAACCTAAATAAAATGCGAGCCTGCACTTACCAAATCAATCGAACCGTCCCTCTTCTTCGGAGTCGACGTCAATATAATATGATCCCAAATTGCGCAAAGTTGCGAAAAGCGATATGGGAAGTCGAAACCGACTTTCTTTTTCAAAGTGACAATGTCCGATCGCTCATAAACCTTTGTCCGCTCTAGATCTTCAAAGGTCCCTCAGGTAACTGGCCTCGAAAGGAAAATTTGTGAGACCAGCCTTTATTGGATTACGATGAGAAGTCGGGACGTGGAAGTTTAAGTTATTTGAGGGGGAGGCCTACATGTGCCGTTGAGCATGGCCATGAATGACCAGCGGAAAGTTTGTAGGGGGCGACATGGCAGTACACCAACATGAATAGATGGGGACGCAGTGGGGCGGCTGTATAGCATGCTGTTCAACAGAGGGAAAGAGTATTCATGACGTGAGGATTGGGCAGATGAAAGTCACTTCTTGAAAACCATTCCCCGAGAAATGGCACATAGAATATTAAAGCGATTGTATATATATTTTATTACAAATCTTTAAAAAATGAACATTTTCTAAAGATTCCCCCCCCCCCACCAAAAAAAAGATGTCCCCTTTCCCCGTTTGTTAGCCAATAAACACAAATCAATCACAAAGCTGTAGAACGAAACCTGACACCAGTTCATGTGAAGAAGATTGGAGTAAAATAGCTCAAGCATCTTATATTTTTCTAATATGCACCTATAGGCCTATTTCTGACACTCGGCCTTCAGCGTCCCAGGTATAGGGCCTATAACTCTCTTCCCTTTAAAAATAATCCTGAATACGCCTGCGTGGGGAAGCCAAGTTCAGGTAATGGTTTTAAAATAATGATAACATTATTTACGTTCTTAAATTTCTGAAGGATTGATACAGGCAAACTTTGATTTCAATCTAAATTTTTCGATTTTCGCACTATACTTTCAAATAGTATCCTACTTCTTTGTGTACTGCCATGATCGGCAGTGAGGGACAGATGGAGTTTAAACAAATTTTTTTTTCATGAAGCAAAAAAAATTGTAAAGAACTTTTTATATGAGCATTTTTTCACAGGGCCAATTTCCTTCATTGTTCGTTGTCTTGACGAGATATAGAGGGCAGTGTCCTCACTCCCAGGTCCCATAGCATCCAAGATACCGCATCCTCTTTCAAAGTACGATCCTCCCATCTCACACCTTTCGTCCATTGAAGCTGACGTTTAGCGAGAGAGCGCGCGAAACGGATCATTTGACCAAATTAGAGACGGTTTCCTTAATATATAGGCCAGCTTGAATAGGTCAATAACACCTATGTAGATCTAGGTGAGAGCCCCCTGGATCACAAAATGGAAGCCGATAGTTAAATATCCAAGCAAACTATTTCGTGTAATACCAAAGAATGTGTGGTTTATGATTTAATTTTGGATAATTGATACAATCGACCTCACATACGACGTGGTCGCATGGAATGGCAATGGTTCTCCTATCTTAAATCATTTCGGAGAGATTGAAGTATGTAGTTTTTATAATATTTTGAGAGCAATAAACCAGAGAGGGAAGGAAATACTCGTAATTAGTTATGACGGATTATATAATCTTCTGGTGTCAGGGGCGGATCTAGCTTTTTGCTAAGGGGGGGGGGGGTTTGACCAAAATAATGACGATGCAGAGCATCGTCCACGAGCCGCGAAGCGGCGAGCCGATTTTTTTTTGGGGTGTTTATTTGAACCCCGTAAGTGATGTTTTCCTAGCATCTATTAACACAATGGAGACCATAAAAAGCAGTGCATGATAACGTCTTTTTAAATCAAGTAACAGTTTAATACACAGTTATATCCAGAGTTATCATGTGTTTGGTTAAGTTACCAGATGAGTTGAATATCTTCTCACAATATTTGCACTTGAAAGGGTTTCTCTCCAGCGTGCGTTCTTTTTTCTTTCTTTTTTTCTTTCTTTTTTTCCTTTTTTTTTTTTTTTTTTTTTGGGCCGCCCAAGGGGGGGGTTTAAACCCCCTAAACCCCCCCGTAGATCCGCGCCTGGGTGTTATAGTCGGAACGTAACATTAGGCCCTACTTTTGTTCTTACATTATTTTCAAGGAGTTTAACCTGTTATAAAATCATGAATAACTTAAACAAGATAAAAAGAAATGAGGGTATGTGTATTAAACTAAAGGTTTGGGGTAGGGTCTTCTTAAACTTTTCAAACGTCATCTCATGTACTCCAATCACTTAATTGCATTGAAACGATAAAAATGTTGGCTGCACTATAATAGTGAAGCGTTGACGATTTTGCACGCTCGGGGCTATTTTATACGGACAAGACTGACCACAGCCCTCCCCCCCCCCCCCCCCCCGGTGAAATTTTATCCCTATACGCCTTAAGGTGAGGGGGCCCTCGCCCCTAGCTAGCCATCTATTTTCTGTCCAGGATGACGAAAGGGCATCGTAGTTCAGTGGCTACCTAAGATGATAAAAAGAAAACTTACAGACATCATCAGTTTAGACGGACGCGACAGTCCGACAGTATGGCCTGCCTGTTTTCTAACCTACATTCCCATCTATCTTGAATAGCACAAATAGCTCAGAAGCAGTGGGACGCCGTACAAGAACTGGTGTAGAATTGCCGCTGAACTGCCCCGTCATTGGACTGCCGATAATTGGCTCAGGACCGCACCTGCTGTCGACAGTCACGGAAAACCCCCGTCGAAATGTGAATGTCCTGCAAACGTAATATCTCGGGCAAAGGGACGATGACTGCGTTACTCTTTATATATTAACGCAGGGGCGTCAATCTGTGTTCAGGATAGTTAGTAGTCGCGGGAGGGGTGGGCAAACCATTTTTTTCTTTGTCTAAGATCCTGGAAAAAAGTCATCTGATTTGTAGTTTACTGGTTGAAAAAAAATCAGTTTGATCACTTGGCTTTAGAAAGTTCACAGGAGTGGACGAAAGCTTGCCCACACAAATCAAGGTTGGTAGAAAACTTTAAACATTACGGGGTGTTGGCTCAGTCAGTAGAGCGTCCGCCTCACAACCGGGAGGTCGTGGGTTCGAACCCCGGCCGCGTCATACCAAAAGACGTTAAAAGATGGGAGTTGTTGCTACCTTGTTTGGCATTCAACAATAAGGGATGGAGTAACGTCGATCTGCTGCTGCTCAGTGGCTGCCGGGCTCACGATCAATTGGGCAAAAAGAATTTCCGTTTCGGTTTAATAAAATTTGGAGTGGACTATTAGACTATTATTATTATCATTATTATTATTATTATATGATTATCCCCGACCGATGAAATTGTTCTGTATCAGTTTGAAAATGTCCGCACCTTAAGTGAGTACTTTCGAACGCTAACAGCCTTCTCTGTCATAATTTTGGGCATAATTTTTTTTTTAAGTAAACAAAAAACAAAAAACAAACAAAGGGGGGGGGGGGTTAGTTTTTTTTAGGGGGGTTTACACACATAAAAATACCAAAGGGGGGTTTGAACCCCCAACCCCCCCCCCCCCTGCGTACGCCCCTGATCAACATTAATCATCATTATTATCATTTTAATAATGATAATAATAATTGGGTCTTATTTACTTAGAGTCGCCACATAAATATTCAATACTACTCTTCCTCCTGAGTCGATCGACATGCAACCTCAGACTAATTAATGAGCATGGCATGTCGCGGGTCTAAATCTGATCAAGAAAAGAAAATAATTATCAACCAAAGAAGAGGGACAACAACATTCGTGAGCCCATGATTAAACGTAACTTCTTTTCACGGCAAGGTCCAATAACAGTCACCATGGTGAATTTTAAAGAAAGGAAGAAGGAAGCTATGACAAGTATTAACAAGAAGGTCAAGACCCAATACCCCCACTCCCTCCCCGCCATGGTGCAAAATAAATCATTTCATTATAAAATCCAAAGGAAAACATCACAACCATATCTTTTTTCGACCATGGAAACTGTATCACTGGATCACTGAACGCAACATTGGCATTCAACTACTTGCTCGATCTCTTCGCCTGCTCTCAAAACATTTAACTGATTGTTAATACCGATTGTAGCCATCTAAGTGTACATATTGATTCATATAAGATGACTGTGCATTCATCAAACGAAGAGGGAAATAAAAAATTATTTGAAAATTATTTGTACATGTAGGTGCCCCTTTTCCAGCCGAAGTGCCCCTTTTCGGAGATGCTCTCCACTCTCAAGAAGAAAAAAGAAATCGCCTTCCTCAGTTCTTTATACATGCAGTTACGCGCATCACTGCTTTGGTCTCATTGTGTGCATACTGATACAACTAGACTTACGCCTACAAACAGAAAAGTTCGTAGATCAATCTCGTCTTTTCAAACGATTGTCTTTCCAAAAGATAGACAAAACATTTTCCTTTTGTCTTTTGCCTTTCCAAGACAGCATAATTTGTTAGTTTGTGGTCGACAAATTCAGCGAATCAAGGCTCACGGACGAAGTAGAAGGTAGACCCTAATTTGTTTTTGTTTTGTGTATTTTTCTTATGAATGACTTATTATTTTGTAGACATAGAGCTTAATATTGTGAAATATGTTGTATATTAAATGATTTCAGAAATTAATATGTTGTTTTATAATTCATGACGGTCAATATGCTTGAAAATATGTTAGGTTGCAAAACATTGCATCAGTTTATGTCTGTCCCATCTATAAACTTGTGTGTGAGTGTACGAGAGCTATGCACACGTGAGGACTCGTCGAAAACTATAAACACGACTGGCGCGGCGGCGACAGCCGTCCGATTGCGCTCCGGTTGCGCCTCGGCGCTAGATTACTTTCCTATTCATTTTAAACTCCGGCGTGGAGATACCCTACTAAAACGTACCAAAATCAACTAAATCTTTATCAAATGTTTAAATAATGGTTATGATTTAAAAATCGTCATGTTTCTTACCAGTTTTGTGTCAATTTTGGAGTATTTTTCCTAAAAAAGCAGACAGTATAATTAATATACATTATAAAATAGCCTTAAGGGCTCTCTCGAAATGTTTTTTTAATGATATTATTCGAGAGAGCCTTAAACGGCTCCCATACCCCTGCATGGAGAGGCATGTAAACAAAACTCAAAAGTGGTCCAAAATCACACTTTCGCGCACCCGACCAATATTGGACAGTGGCTTTGATAAATTTTGTCGTAGTTTTGGTCTTAATTAGCGCTTTAATTTCAAAATCGGATCTAAAAATAACAAAATAAGAGCAATTTTCTTACCAGACCGATACAGCTCAGCTCCCTTTTCACGTGTACCGTGTGAATTCACGATGTCTACACAATGGTGATGACCTCTGACTAGCACTTCGTAAATGTGCTGCTTCCGTATAATGCGCTGAATAACACTCATACAGCGCATTATACGGAAGCAGCACAATTTACCCACAATTACGGAAGTGCCAGTAGCTTAGCTTAGCTCTAGCTAGAGCGGGGTATTATTAGAAAGCAAATTTTTGTTTTACTTTTGCCTTGGATTTAGACCCGTTTTGACTTTTGGATTTTATAATGAAGCCAGGAATTTCAGCTGTCTGATGTAGACTCGTCTCTAGACACCCTAGACCCTATGCATTTTATTTTTAATCAAACAATGAATCCCGTGGACTTTTTGGTAAGCCTGCAAGGTCTTAGACCCTCATTTTATTTCTAGAACCAACATAACTCTAGATCTAGATCGAACTCTCGTATACTTAAGACTAAACTTTTGTTTGTTGCTGTTTGTGTCGCTATTTTATAAAACAAATAACGCACTTGACCCTGTTGTGCGAAACGTAAATGCAGTGTTCGCTCGGTTTCTTCAGATGGTTCGCACTGTCAACTCGCCGCAAGCGGCTCGTTGCACAGAGCGGCACCAATCTAAAGAAACCTCGCGCGTACTGCATTCACCGCTATTGCACTCTGGGACGTGCGTTATTTGTATACTTTCTCACAGGTTTCACAGCGAACCACTGCACAATTACGGTACAATTGCATACTGTACTGATGAAGGGGTGCGGGCGGACGAGCGCGTGGGTGTGAAGTTGGCGAACGTAATAATGATCATCATCGTTATAATTTGAATTACAAACATGAACTTAATAAGGATCTTAGATATTAACAGTCAATAGAGCCGAGCTGTATAAATTCATGTTTTTTTTTATGCCAGTTTTTCTTTATCCTTCTTTTTTCTCATTGATTTATTCTATATTTTTTAGGATTAGGCTGCTGATTAACAACAATCAATATGGAGTTCCAGGCAGTGATAATGGCCGCTGGTCGGGGGTCTCGGATGACGGACTTGTCAAACAACATCCCTAAAGCACTTCTTCCCATTGGAAACCATCCCATGATATGGTACCCCATCAATATGCTGGAGAAAGCTGGCTTCGAGAGTATGTATCCAATGATTTAAAGAAAGTATAAAGTTAAACTGTAGAAGATTGAATAATAAATTTTGTCTACAATATCTTCTTCTCCTACATGTCACATGCTCTTGCAACAATTGCTCCACAGTCAATATCCTGTACTAACCAAATCCATAACTTCAACCCTGGACCAAACACTATACCTAACCTTAACCATAATCCTAAACCTAACTTAAAACCCTATTGCAGAAAATGTTCCTGGAGCACTCTTCTTCCTCTTCTAGATGATTTAATCATTCAACAGTTGCCAATGGTTACTATCCTGAATTTTTCAGGGATTTCTTTGGTGAGCTCTTGAAGTTATGGGAAAACATTGTGAACAAGATTATTTAGAAAAGATGGAGGTATAATTACCAAAGTTTGTTTTTGTTTTGTAAAATATTTCATTCTTTATATATGCCACACAAGTTATCTCCCTGTGCCACACTGTATTTAGCATGGGATAGATAAACCAAAGGCTTCAAGATTATTTAACTGTTTCAAGTGCAAGATTAATCTATTATAATCTATACTATAAAGGGTTGTCAATTGATGCCTATTTTTTGTGGAAATACTGGAAAATGTACTAGTATGTATGAGGCACATTAGCGACTGGGTCGAGAGGTCAAGAAAGCTACCAATGTGTTAAAAAGCAGTCATGAAAATTACAATGGCTTTTGTTTGATAGTTTACCCTTAATAGTTCTTGTTATTGTTGTTTTTTTCCTTTACAGTCCAAAACATTTAGCATTATCACCAATGATGATGATAATGATAGGAATAATAGCTGCAAAAACAACAACAACACAACAACAACAACAAAAGCATTTTATCAGTACTTACAACTGACCTAAGCACTTAAAGTATAGCTATTTTGTTGTGAACTAGCGAAAACCCTGTTTGATTCTAGCAGCTTTCCATGAATGAATTTGCACATAACATGGCTTTGAAATATATATGTTTGTAATCAGCCCTACGATTGTTCTGTCTTCACTTTATACAGGAGTGATCATCATCACCTTGGAGTCTGTTGGAAAGGATCTGAGACAGAAGTTGAAGTCTTGCGGTGAGATCAAGCTGGAGTTGGACATCGTGACCATCCCAAACGATGAAGACTGGGGCACGGCAGAGTCTCTCAGACACATCAGAGATAAAATCAAGGTATAATAAGCATTTTCTATTTGTCAAACTCTCTTAATAGACCATTTTCGTAATGTAATCAAATTTAATGCACAAATCTTTTTTAAGTGCCATAATAAAAATTAAGTAAATTCATGTGTTAGATATAATTGTATTTCAATATTCAGAATGAGAATTGTATATGAATATTGTCGCTAAGTAGGACAAACATTATGACTTGTCCTACCTTACAAAACTGAATATATTTCTTTTTCTAAGAGTACATATGACTTTCATTAATGATTGCACTTTTCCAAAACTTGATTTATGTATATATTAATAAGGTTTTTCAACAATAATTATTCTTTTGAAACTGGTATTTTTGAACAGACCGATGTCCTAGTCATAAGCAGCGACCTCATCACAGATATAGAGCTACACCTCCTGGCAGATATCCATCGGAAGTATGACTCTACAATCACGACTCTCCTCTATCAACAAGCAGATCAAGGTCTCGAGGGAATGACGGTACCCGGGACCAGGACTAAGAAAAAATCAGGTTGGTGATTTGTTTCAGTTCACATGTGTTAGTTTGACCTGTTATGTATCTTCACGATTGATCAGACTTTTGAATGATTGTCGTAAATGAACTTTCAAGAATTAAATTCCAACTAATAACCTTTTGTTCGTTGTGAAATCAGTCATAAAAGATCCTCCATTTGAATAAATTTCAGTTTGAATGTACATGTCCCTATTTCAGAAAGAAAACAAATAGTCCAAACACCTGTTTTTTCTTTAAATAGGGCTATGTTATTGTACCTGTCCACTTTTTTGTTTTCTTGATGTTTTTATTCTTCTGAGCTTTTTCCTTATTTCTTTGAGCTCATTTCTTCTGAGCTTTTCTCTTACAACAAGCAATAACCCATAAAGGGGGTGAAATAAGCAGATACTAGGGGTAGAAAGTCAGCCAAGTTAGCATGGTGACGGCATGTACTAATAGCAAGTCAACGTATTATACAACAGATTTTGACTTGCCTGTGTACATGCCATTACATGATAAGATGGCATTACAATCTGGAAGAAGAGAAAACTCTATCCTGTTTGTACATCTGACGTACACATATTAATGTATTTGTCTCTTTTTATCTTTGTTTGTTGTCTTCTGTCTCTTATATACACACATATGTTTTCTCTCTCTCTCTCTCTCTCTCTCTCTCTTTATATCTCTCCCTCTCTCTATCTCTCTCTCTCTCTCTCTCTCTCTATCTCTCTCTCTCTCTCTCTCTCTCTCTCTCTTATCTCTCTCTCTCTCTCTCTCTCTCTCTCTCTCTCTCTCTCTCTCTCTCTCTCACTGTCTGTATCTCTTGCTCACTCCCTCTCAGATCAAAGAGACATCATAGGACTGGATGAGAAGGGTCAGCGTATGCTCTTGATGACAGCAGAGGCTGATGTGGAAGTTTCTCTGGGACTCAAGATGTCATTACTTAGAAAGTGAGTATATTCAATCAACAATGTTTAATATTAGATATCATATAATTTGAATAATTTCTTTGTAGTTTTACATGTTTATACATTATAGTAGTTTATGTTTATATCTTGATTTACTTTATAATTCTATTGGAGTGAATCTCTCTGATCGAGTAGAAAGCAAATTTCCATGATGTGTATACCATCAATAAAATAAATTATCCACATTTTTAATGACCAAGGATTGCAGTACTAATTTACATGCTGATCATCGTCAACATGTGAAGTGACACCCTATAAAACATTTCCCAGACCATTTTGAAACGTTGATAAAATCATTCAAAGAAGGATGACTGTGAAGAGTTTCATTTCCAGTGGGTAATAGCCAAAGGACACGAAAGCCTCTAGTACAGCCTGTAGTTCTTCCATTTGTTGTCATTTGCTGTGTGAATGTATTTCATTTTTATACAAACATAGCTTGTATTTCCTCTGTTCTAAACCCTTTTACCTGTTTCTACCAAACACTGTCTTTCTATCACTGTATTATGTAACTGATTTCTTATCTCCAACCTTTTCACACACTTACCCTGCTCTCACCCCTTTTCCTTCTTCTTTTCTGTCTCTCTTCCTGACTATATATTTTATGTGATTTTTCATTCGCTTACTGCTTTGTTTTGTTGTTCATTATAGGTTTCCATGCATACAGTTTGAGACCAGGCTATTAGATGCTCACATGTATTTCCTCAAGAAATGGGTGGTTGATTTCCTGGCTGACTCTAAGCAGGGCAGGTAAAACAAATCACTTACTTTGTAGAAGTGCTATGAAAACATGTTTAATTCAGGTGAAGTGAGAGATGTTTTAAAAAGAAATCCAACCTTGATAGCAAACTACTCTAGAGGAGAGCAGACAAATCAGGGAAGTAGACTGTTGAAAGTTTGAATGAAAGCAGACAAAAAAGGAGAAAGTTATGAATTTTTGAAAGTTGTAATCACTATAGTAATGGGCTAGGGGCTCACAAAAGTGTGTGTGACGTAGTGGCGGACAACTTTCCCATTTGTTCCAACACACAAAATTACCAAAATGTCTAATTTTTCTAAGATGTTTGACTCGGAATGGTCAGTACTTATTAGAGGAGTTATAATAATATTTTTTGAGTAGTGCCCCAAGGGGGAATGCTCTTGGGAGAAAAACAGAAATTAGTGATATTTTTGTACACGACGCAGCTGCTGTAGATGATAACGCCAGATGTTAGGTTTTTGTTGATACATTTATTTGTTTACTGTTATGTATGGAAATCTTTTCTGCAGAAACCTAACTACGTTGAAAGGAGAGGTACTGCCATATCTTGTCAAGAAACAGTTCTCCAGAATATCTCACGCTAGTAAGGCTGATGACAAAGACAGTGCAATCATCAATGTCAAACAGGATGGGCAATTAGGTGAGATGAAGATGATGATGGTGATGATGATGGTGGGATGGTGGTGGTGGGTGAGGTGATGGTGGTGATGATGATGATGAAGATGGTACTGGTGATAATAGCGGTGATATTAATGATTATGGTGGTTATCATGGTAATGGTGGTGGTGGGGTGTTAGTGGTGGTGATGATGATGGTGGTGGTGATGGGGTATTAGTGGTGGTGGTGGTGGTGATGAAGATGGTGATGATGATGAAGATGATGATGATGATGGTGGTGGTGGTGTGGTGGTGGTGGTGGTGGTGGTGGTGGTGGTGGTGGTGGTGGTGGTGGTGGGTGGTGGTGGTGGTGGTGGTGGTGGTGGTGGTGGTGGTGGTGGTGGTGGTGGTGGTGGTGGTGGTGGTGGTGGTGGTGGTGGTGGTGGTGTGGTGGTGGTGGTGGTGGTGGTGGTGGTGGTGGTGATGGTGATGGTAATGTTGTGATGATGATGATAATGATTTTGATGATGAATGGTGGCTGCGATGAGAAGGGAGGAAGGGAAGGAGGGATACCTACCATCATAATATACTTCCAGAATGGGGAAAATCAATTGTTGATTTATTTTTAAAGACTGGTTTAGGAGAGGCGTCAAAAATAAATATACCAGCCAGCGGCAGCTAACTGCACTTGTGCGTCCTGGCTGCATTTTTTTAAGTAGCTCAGCCGGCTACCGCTGGCGGTAGGAAATGGCATTCAAAAGCATGCGCCGGCTGCCGCCTTTTGAATGGAAACCGAGCCTCAGATCCCAGCCTGGCGCAAGCCGGCTGGGGTAATAAGTGAAAAATAATTGCCCCAGCCAGGCTTCGGCCGTAATTGCAGCCTCGATGCGCCAATACGTGAGGCGGCAGCCTGCTGGTATCGATATTTTTGACGCCTCGCCTTATGCACCATTTTATACTGCTAAACAAAGGATAGAGCTAAAGATGATGCTTGAAACAGTGACTGAACTTGATATTGAAACGGATAATGATGCAAATAAATTGAAAATGTGCTAAATACCAACGGTATAATCTGTTATATGATATATCTTCTTATAAAAGTATAATGCATTTGAAATACAATTTTTCTGGTGAACATGGAATCCCTTAGAAACGTACACTGAATCTTAGTCATACCTGGGCCCTGTCTTACAAAAAGTTGCGATTGATCCAAATCAATCGCAAGTCCTCCAATCAATCGCAAATTTGCAATCTCCTATCTTGTATGTACATACCGGTAGTTGCAATTGATATCAACTCTTTGTAATACAGGGCCAAGATTACAAACCACCTTCCATCTCAATCTAACTTATCATCTATTCCCTTTCCTTCTCCTTTCAGATTTATCCCAGTACCTCCCTTACGATGAGTTGAGTAAGAAATCTTTGGAGATGTCGCCATGGAATGCACACAAGGGTGAGATGTCCAGGGTCTACCAGAAGGGGGACAGTCTTCGCTGCTACACCTACATCGCTTCCAGTGGCATGTGTCTGCGGGCCAACAATGTGGCTGCTTACTGCGAGGCTAACAGACAGGTAAGGGTCAAGGGTCATGCATTGGGGTGCGTTATCTGCTACTGAGCTACTGACAAGCATTCAAAGGGCTTAACTTTTATCCTGCCATAATGAATATAGCCTAATGCCACTGGACTAATCCCCATTGTGCCAAGCCTCAAATCCCCCTGTGCCAAGTTAATTTTGAGATAATCAGATTAACGGATTAGTGGTGCGAAACACTAGGCACAGTGCAATGGCATGAACTGCTATTACACAAATGCGAGCATGCATGCACAAAGCAGATACGCGGTAGCTCGCTCGCATGAATGAAGCAACCAATCGATAGTACAAAGCACTATAACGGTAGCGTGCAAGCAGCCTTATGGCATGATATGATTTAAAGTGACTCTGTAACATTGCCCCGGATTCTGAAACAAAATTTGGGATTTAGCTCATGCTGCAATCATAATTATAAACCATTAGGCGGGTCAGTCAGGAATCCTATGACTTTTACAAGCCAATTGCCTGTCTGATTATCACAATATTTATGAGTGGAATTCGAAATTTCAAAAAGCATTTTCCAAATGGTTTTGATAACACTACAGTCTATTGGGGGAAATGAGTATGGTAAAACCGGTCACTCAAAGAATTTTACTTTTTGAGGCACTTCATGATCATTTTGAAATGCAATAGGGCATCGATATTACACCATATAAAGTTACTGATAACACATAGGGCCATGCATCTCAGATTTAATATTGTTAAACGATGCCTTTAAGCAAACTTTTTGTTTATAAAAACTGTGGACTACACTCCTGCAAAAGCATGCAGTGGTCATTTGAGTCACCACTGTTCAGATCGTAGTTGTTCTCCTTGGACTAGATAAGCCAGATGCATATACATGTACGATGAATGCCTTGCCTAGGGTTATTCAGATTTTAGCTAAGACCAGTCGGCCTTGTTTAGCACTAGTGTATACCCAAACATAGCAGGGGGTGGGTCCTAGTTTGAACATTATAAGAATCTAAACAATAAAAGGATGAGCAGAGCTACCCAACAGAACAGATTGTTTTTATTTTCATACAAGAAAACTAGAAAGTGGGAGGACTAGCAAATATTGGGTGTTTTTTAAAATCTTATCTTTAATCTTTTTATCCTAGGCATTTAGTGGCATTCACTGGGACACTGAATCATGTTGATTATTGATACATTTTGAGCATGTTGCCATAAGTGATTGTATTGGAACAGTCATGTTCGTATTTGTAAGTAATATATTCATGTTTCAGACCTTGATAAGAGAGCGGTATGTTACAAGAAGACTTCCAAATGTTGAATTACACACAATCCAAAAGTATTTTGCTCCAAACTCCAGAAGAAGAACAAATTAATTGTGGAGCCTTGATGTATATTAATCCATGTCCGCATGTGACTGTGTGCATTTGGGAATTTGTTATTCCTACCATATACATACATGGAGTTTCATCTTTGATAGAACAGGTGAAAGTTTTGCTGACAATTTGTTGCACATAGTTTTACATGTATGTACACTTTGGGTAGTGAATATGAAGCAATCACTATTCACACATTGACGAATGAGGTGTTACAAGGTTATTTGCAGTGTACCTCGGAACCAGTATTGCAGTACTGAAAGAGAAGTTTTGGAGACATAAGTTACAGTTGCATGGTGTAGCACGGACATCAGTAATAGTTCTCTCATGCAGGGGCGTCACTAAAGGGGGGTGTGGGGTGTTCCAATACCCCCCCCCCCCCCCCCCCCCCCCCACCTCTCGGGATATTGTCGGTAAAATTGAGCTGCCGTCTGGAAAAATGAGAAAAAGGGGGAGGGAAAGAAAAGGAAAAAGAAAAAAAGAAAAGAATAGAAAAAAAAGGAAGGAGAGAAAAGGAAGGAGAGAAAAGAAAGGAGAAAAGGAAACAAAAGAAACGGGGGATGAAAAAGAGGAGAGAGAGTTAGGGAGGATAAGAACGTGAGAAAAGAGGGATGGAGTAAGAGAGAGAGAGGGGAGTTGTTGGGTTGAGTCGTTTCGTTGAGGGAGCAAGAAAGATACACATAGATATATTGCTTTGTCGGGTCAGCTGTGTCTGTATTCTTGCTTGATCCTCGTGTACGATATCAATGCAGAATTTTGAAGTCAGTGAGATGTGTAGTGTCGGTCGGTCGGCATATTTTTTTTCCCTACGAACTGTGACTTTTTATCTGCTGTGACAACTTCGATAGAGACTACAACTATAACACTTGTATTTTTTTGAAGTTTCACCTTACTATAATATCAGCAAAAGAAAACAGAGGTATAAAATATGCAACCATGATATTCAAACCCGAGAGTTTTGGAGTACAGGCGCTGCACTCTTTCTAATCACGCCACACCGATTGATTGCTCAATGAGGTTGCACATTGAAATAGATAGCTACGATGCTGACTAGTCTTGACGAAATAAACCATATTTTTATGTGGTCGAGGAAAATGACCATGTGTGCATACGCAAGTACTATAGATGGTACTTAGGAAGAATAATTTAGCCTCCGGCCCCGGGTTTATAGGGTTAAATTTGTAGACATTGGGACATTAACATTAATAGGTACATGTAATTGTCAGAAATTGGAGTCTAGTTTTGTCTGTAATCGGTGGCTTCTACACCCTCCCCCTCCCCCCCCCCCCCCCCCCCCCCCACTGAAAAAGATCTGACGACGCCCCTGCTCTTATTTTAATGTCGTTTGTGGCTTTACAGATATGTAAATATTCTCCAAGATAAGAAAAAGAACTAAATCATACATACAGGTAATCCATAAGAATGTACATAAAGTCAACAACTAAATTATTCATACCCCTTGTTAATTTTGATGTATTTTGAGTATTTTTGATAACTCAAGAATAAAATTTGGAGTGGTTGAATAAGAGCCTTTGTTGAATACTTTAATATGTCACATTCTCAAGAAATGTAAATCAAGACAAATCAATTTTTTTAAATACTTAAAAGTTACAAACTTGGTATTAAAAGGGTATGAATAATTTAGTTCTTAACTGTATAGTACACCTATGTCCTCACCGTAATATAAGATTTCCACTTTGGGCAGGAAATCCTTGTGCGAGCTTTAAAAAAGAATTACTCTGCTTAAACTCTGGAGACAAGATATTTGTGTAAATGACTTTGCCATAGTATTGACTATCTACTTTAGAGATCACTTCCATAGATTCTGGTTAGTGCACAGTGCCATCTTGTGTCTTAAATTGAAACTCCTCCCCACTTTGTGTCTCGGTTCAGGGCAGGTTCCTGTCTGATTCATTATCATAATGGTTAAGAAAAATAGGCGAATCTCTATTTTCTGATATCGTGAGCCTCCAGTGAGATTGATTTAAAGCCTATCTGCACTAGTTTGGCCAGGAGGGATTAGACCTCCCTGCATGGTCACTGGCAGGTGGTTATATCATCAAATCAGCTCTCAATTAACATAAGAAAAAGGGGACCATGGAGGATCAACGGGTACAGCTTTAATAGGCATTGTTGGCTATACAGAGGGCGCAAGTAGCTACAAATAGTGCAGTCCCGCTTTAAAAATCTTGTAAATACTGCTATATCGTATCAGTAGCCATTGTTGCTCAGGTTTTTGCTGCCTTGGGTTTCATGATAATAATATTATATATCGTGATACAATAAGCTGCCAAGAGATTGGTGAGCCTTTTTAAAACACTGCCATCTTGGGTTCAAAATGGAACTTCTTTTTCATTCCATTTGGAAACCTGTCGCTATTTTTTTGCTCAATTTGTTTAGTTTTATCTTCAGAACCTTAACGAAATTGTAATAATTCTTCTCTGCATATATATAGTTATCATTCAATCTTTCTCATTTTGTTTCTACCATCTATTTTCAGAGCATTGACTCAATCTTTTGCCTTTAAAACATAAACAAAAATAATAATTCTCCTCTGCTGCTCTGCACATACAATTAGTTGATCAGCATAGATATTGTCAGTTTTAAAGCATTTGTATAATGATTTTTAGAATTTGATTGGGAAAAAAAGCATTATAAAGCTCATCAGCACCTAGTTAACTGTTAACCAAGCTTTTTATTACCAGGCTTGAATGCATTAACACAAACTATATGTACCAATCTTCAGAACTTCAACAATTATTGGAATGATTCTTCTCTGAATCTGCATGTAGTTATTGTCCATAGAAGTGTACAGTTGTATCTAGTTATGAAGTTATGAATTAAACTGTTCGATCTTCCAGTTTAACATAAAAAATGAAAAATACCCCTGGTAATTGTAATAATTATCCTCTGCAGTATTTGGTCAGCCAATCTTAATATCACTTTATTTTACAACATTGAAACATATTGTTGAATGATCACTTCAAAATTTAAACCATTTGTAATACGGTTCTTCTGCATCTAGATATCGATCAGCTGGTCTGAATATCATCCCGTGTCAAAGCATGGACACGACCTTTCCGTAACTTAAAGAAAATATGAAAAAATTCAAATCACGTTGCTACTTCACAGCATCTATCACATTCCTTGGGGGGAAACAGCAGGGTATCTCAAGCTAATTTCATTTGACACTTCTTCTGCAAAAACAAATGAGAGAGATTAGAGATGGGAGAAAGGAAATGTGTTGTTACGTTGAAAAATAACTTTCCCACGATGTGCATAATTGAATTAGAGAATGAGTGGACACGTGATGAGTTAAGCAGATCACATTTTGACACATGGCAAGAAAATAGCTTGTGACGATTCATCAAACACCGTATTGTTGAGCATTAATTTGATGTTTAATTAGGATTCGTCATTTTGGCGCAGTTTTCAAAAAACATTCCTGAAAGTTCGAGAAAGGTGGAAAAATAAATTTCCCACGATGTTCATAATTGAATTAGAGAATGAGTGGACACATGACAAGTTAGGCAGATCACAATTTGACACATTGTTTTTATGTTCTGACGACATGACTTGAGGTGCTAAAAGAAAATTGTTTGTGACAATTCATCAAAGACGCTACCATATAAATTTAGTACTGTTGACAGT